ACAGACACACAGCCACACATGACGCCGCTAACTGCCCTTAGAAAAGCAATGAGAGGTTAGGTACTATATAAAGATTGATGATATTAGCATGATGCTTATCACACAGTTTACATAGTCCTCTCTGCGTCTGCAGCACTGGGTCTCTGCTCAGAGATTCCTCTATGTTCCATAATGTGCGAGGAGCTCACACTGGACAATTTTAGGTCAGGTTTGATTAATGTGGAGACCCGGCGTATTCCTTAAGCACCGCTGCCTTGACAGCACGCTACAGTGGCGAATCAGCTTTGCTCATTGTTAACAGCCCCACTGTGTTTCTGTGGAGCATCTGCAGTTCACTCGAGCTGAAACATCACAACTGTCACTTGTAGCAGCTAATTAAAGTAGTAGATAATTCCAGACCATGGGTGGACAGATTTGATCATGTAAAACTACCTGAGGTCCATTTGCTCACTCATTCCTTAGATGTAGAGAAACTGCATTTCAAGTTCTGTTGTTGCCTTTTAACTGGTGATGACATTAAATGCGAGTCAGAGATGTGTCTAGTAACATCATCCCTTTTAAAATTGTAATTCTTAGGACTGTTTCACATTTAGAAAGTTGTACAGAAATGTGAAATCTGCTGCAGTAGAAGGTTTAGGTTTGCACTGAAACAGTTCTGAACTGGAGTTTACATAGACAAAAGCAGCAAAAAGAATATGCGTCGATAATAATAAAACATAATAACCTTCAAACCTCTGAAACATTTGTTCAGCATCAACTCGGATTTTGCGAGGTTAATTTTCTACAATATTTTTTATGTGGCACAGATTCCATTCATCAGTGCAAATTGACAGACAGTTGCGAGCATTATATTTTATGAGTGCACAGATGTCTCCCTATACAGTGCGGCGTCACCTCACTTCAGCCAATAGCCTTGAGCAAAAAAAAAAAAGAAAAAAAAGCCAAGCTTTCTAATCCTCTCACTTGACACACAGCGTGGGGCCATTCCCACAGTCTTTCCCTGCAGGGATACTCAGGTCTCTGTGGTCTATATACAAAGACGCCGCACAAGAGCAGGCTGTATATTAGAATCCAATGCATACTCATATACAGTGGTCTGCTCTAATTAGCAGAATGCACTAAGTCAGAGGTGGTTAAAGGTTGCGTGCTTATTTGTCGAGGCTAATTAATGCACCAGGAGGATAACACACTTCATTTCCTCTGTCCATTTCTTAATAAGGAGATACATTTCCTCTGTCCATTTCTTAATAAGGAAATACATTGTAATGTCAATAAATTAAAAAAAAAAGATGTTTACATCGTAATTAGGGAAACTGGCAGTGCTGAGCGATGCTGTTCCTCTGGGCTGCAGTTCATCATGTCTATTTTTGCCTCCTCATATCCAG